CACTCAGACACAGTATGCTGACTCCTAGCCGACCAGTCCTCGTTACAGCCCCTTAATGCCGAGCGCCAGACAGGGTAACAAAAATGATTCTTAGTGTAATCTGTGTGTATGTATAAACATAATATATTGATATAAAATGTAACGCCTATATATTCAGCTGGTAAATCAGTTTTAGTGTCAAACATTCTCTTCTTCAGACTGCCAGTAGGTATACTATTGAGTCCATGTGTGCTAAACTAATCACATCACATCTCCATATATCTGGTGCTTCTTTATACCATTATCTAAAGAATTCCCAAATAATAATGACTGTTTTCTGAGATTACATGATCATTCTGTTGTGGGACGGACATTATGAAAAAAGTTTAAGAACATATTTGCATGGTGTCTTCAGTCACGTCCAGTATCTGTCGTATAATCTTGACTCCTGATCCCTCGGTGATAGTTACCTTTCTGCTGGACAGAAGAGTGAGTGAGTGAGTATGGTTTTACGCCGCTTTTAGCAATATTCCAGCAATATCACGGCGGGGGACACCAGAAATGGGCTTCACACATTGTACCCATGTCGGGAATCGAACCCGGGTCTTCGGCGTGACGAACGAACGCTTTAACCACTAGGCTACCCGACCGCCCCGCAGGACAGAAGAAGCATGTTGTGGTTCAACATGTTCCTTGACAAAGTTACAAGGCCTCATAATGCACATATAAAACCTTTCACAACAAAGGCACCGAACATATTAATCACATAAACCAGAACTCCTGTCTGATGTGTTCGCATGTGTTGAAGTCACCATGTTACCTCTGACAACGTTACCTTTGACGTTACCGCTGACAACCTCTGCTGGCATAGTTAGATGCCTGTTAATGACCTGCCCTCCTTTCATTCATGTTGTGAACAGATTGGTTTGTCATGCGATGTGCGTCCTTCGTAATACTGATTTGCTGTGCCAATGGAACATGATATGAATTAACATATAACATGCCTACAGATTGATTCTGCTGAAATGCAGTTGTCAAAGACATAAAAGACATTTTCCTTTGGACTCGGGATGAAGAAACGTTGCCCCAGATGAAAAAAACTTGTGCTCGGGACGAAGGAACCTTTACTCGGGATGAAGAAATCGCTGCTATGGATGAAACCTCTGCTTGGGATGAAGAAACCTCTTCTTGGGGTGAAGAAACCTCCGCTCGGGATGAAGAAACCTCTGCTCGGGATGAAGAACCTGTGCTTGGGATGAAGAAACCTCTACTTGGGATGAAGAAACCTCTTCTTGGGGTGAAGAAACCTCTGCTCGGGATTTTAGAAACCTCTGCTCGGGATTTTAGAAACCTCTGCTCCGGATTTTAGAAACCTCTGTTCGGGATGAAGAAACCTCTACTTGGAATGAAGAAACCTCTTCTTGGGGTGAAGAAACCTCGGCTGGGGATGAAGAAACCTCTTCTTGGGGTTAATAAACCTCCGCTCGGGATGAAGAAACCTCTGCTAGGGACGAAGAAACCTCTGATTGGGATGAAGAAACCTCTGCTGGGAATGAAGAAACCTCTGCTTGGGATGAAGAAACCTCTGCTTTGAATAGAGAAACCTCCGCTCGGAGTGAAGAAACCTCGTCTCGGGATGAAGAAACCTCTACTCGAGCTGAAGAAACCTCCGCTCGGGATGAAGAAACCTCTGTTCGGATTGTAGTAACCTCTACTAGGGATGAAGAAACCAAGCGTGTTCACCATGTGCAGACTACGGAATCATTTGGGTATCGCCATACTCGCCACGATCTCATCACCATTGTTACTGACCTCGCCATCGTTTAAGGGGGAAAGTTTAAAAATGACAAGTCACTCTCCCTGCACTAGTTTTATGGCTTTATGAAGAGACGGCCTGACCATCGGAAACAGCATCCCACCCTTCTTCGTATTTGAAGGTCATGATGTGCAAGATGAGAGTATCTCTAGAACCGTGAGCTATTCATGATGGTCCAACAGTGGGAGTTTCAGGACCTATCTGCCTGAACACTTTCTCAGATTCTGCACCCACCCAACAGCAGAGAAGCCAGTACTAATCCCATATGATGGACACAGGTCGCACGTTTCAGTTGCCCTTAGTGAATGGACAAGGCAGAAACATATAATTTATTTATAAACTGCCAGATCAACCTATGGACGTTGGCTGCTTAAGGTCCTTTGAAAAGATCTACCGCAACATACGACATGGGAACGTGCGTGGATGTGCTGCACGAGGAGTAGAAAGACAGTCATATCTGCCGTTTAGGTTATAGTGCAATCTGAGCTGCTCTGACACCATCAAATCTCCTGGCAACATTCAGAAAGTGTGGGATTTGATGAGACCAAAAACCAACTAAGAAACGGACGCCATAAGTTCAATTGTTAACGGCAGTGCCTTTACAGGTGACAACAGCTCGGAGATAATGAAAGAACATCAAAATAAGATAATTCCATTAATCCCCTGTGATTGTTGGTGGTGTTGTAGTTTTAATGACATGAATAAAAGTTCTGATGAGGCGGCTGTATTTGAACCAGGTATATAAATTTAAATTTAACTTCTGTATTAACATTATTCTTTATGTATCTGTATGTCGTATATATGTTGGGGCGGTGGGGTAGCCTAGTGGTTAAATCGTTCGCTCGTCACGCCGAAGACCCAGGTTCGATTCCCCAAATGTGTACAATGTGTAAAGCCCATTTCTGGTGTCCCCCGCCGTGATATTGCTGGAATATTGCTCAAAGCGTCGTAGGGGGCGCGAGTGGCCCAGTCGTCTAAGGCGCCGCGATTCGCTGTGCAGAGTTGCGTCCCTTGGGCACGCCAGAAACCTATGATTGTGGGTTCGAATCCCGGTTCGCCCCGATTTTGTTTCTAGGTTTGTCAGCACCATACCCGTGCTCGTGGGTTTCAACGAAGTGGTAAACGTCCAAGACCTGCGTCACGTCGGGCTTTCCTCCCAAATTAACCTGACACGCCGTGATATAACTGGAATACTGTTAAAAACGGCGTTAAACCCAACTCACTCACTCACTCAAAGCGTCGTAAAACCATACTCACTCACTCACTCGTATATATGTTATCGACTGGATTAACACAACCATGATAACAAATTCCAACTACTGGCAATGGCAATATTGATTCTATTTATACTAAAATGTAGACTGTGCATTCCACTAGATATATGCTATTTCGGCTTATAGACAAAAAAGAAGGCAGTGTTAAATTCAACTCACTCACTGACTGTATAAACTAACTGAATTATTTTGTTAAAAGATCATGACGAAAAGATTCTGGCAAAAGGCCAACGTGTGTCAATAAATGTATTGATATCAATATTGTAAAGAGACGGTAACGCCTTTATCGTTCTTATCATTTCGTTCTTATCAGATGACCCGTTCATTGGTCTCCATAGTAAGCATATGTCTACTATGACTACTCTCTGCGTCCTTGGATCTTCCATTACAGCTTCGACCGCCTCCGTGGTCTAGTGGAAGAGCGTCCGCCCGGAGGGCGGAAGGTCCGGGGTTTGATCCCCGGCCGCGTCATACCAAGAGACGTTGAAAGATGGCACTTGTTGTTACCCTGTCTTGCGCTCGGCTTTAAAGAGCTAAAACAGGTACCGGTTCGGGGTCAGTTGACTGTGTCTGGGTGAGGTATTCATGTTAAACTGCGGCGAGAACTATAAAATCGGCATCAGTCCGGACTAGTACAAGCAGCCACACACACACGTGCATGCAGGTCGCTATATAAGTGCAATAATCTTGGACGCGTGTTTAAAACCCATTTCACCCCACCTGAACCCGTGGAGTCATTGCCATCTTTATTTTGTTCCAGCAAACGAGGTTGAGATCATGAAATCACACACACACACACACACACACACACACACACACACACACACACACACACACACACACACACACACACACACCACACACACACACACCACACACACACACCACACACACACACCACACACACACACGGGTGCATGCACGTCGGTATACAAGTGCAATAATCTTGGACGCGTGTTTAAAACCCATTTCACCCCACCTGAACCCGTGGAGTCATTGCCATCTTTATTTTGTTCCAGCAAACGAGGTTGAGATCATGAAATCACACACACACACACACACACACACACACACACACACACACACACACACACACACACCACACACACACGGGTGCATGCACGTCGGTATACAAGTGCAATAATCTTGGACGCGATGTTAAATCTGAAACGTGTATGTGTTTGACATTGTGTGTTCTTTCACTTGGGGAATACACTATTTAAGTACACCTGACCATGCTTGAAAGTAATCTAGAAGTGATAATTTCTAGTTTTTGTAAATGATAAATGCTTTGATAAACTGTCAATACAAACACAGTTATGATCTGTGTTTAATTGCTCTAAAAACGAACATTCTAAGAGGAAAAACATATCTAAACCAAGTTCCTGAAAGCATACACACTGCATAGAGTCAGAGACAAGGAAGAAGGGACCTCATTGGTGTTAGGATACAAATGTGCTGTGACGTCACAAAGAAAGGCGTTTGACTTCAACTTACTTTCGTAAAAATCTTATTTTTCTCTCGTAAGATCGTAGGAATTTGCAGAAAATGAGTCCAAACGTTTGATGCCATACTTAAAAAAATGTATTTTCGTGGTCCTAACATAATGTTCTTTTAGAATATAGTAAGAAGTCATAATGCAGTTTTTCACCCATAAAGTCCCTTATTTCATGGCTCTCGCGTATGTCCAGTGGTCCAACCGTAATAGTTTGGCTTTAGGCTTTCCTATTATGCTGACACACCATGATAAACGTCTGGATAACTGTTCATAGTGGTTATTTAACTCAATCACTGATCTACACTGTTACAGTTGTTCCTGTTCATTTCGACAGTACCAATCACAGCAGTGCACAACTAGGCTGAGATGGTAGACTGGTGTTTCATTACGTGTATAAGGTAATATTGAAAAAAAGTTAAAAAATCCGAGCAACTAAAAGCAAACTCTTTTATCCTTTATGAAAATGTTAATGAAAGTTCACACAACGATATCATGTTGAAAAAGATCAGGTCGGTACCCTTTGTATTGTCCCCATGTTATACTTGATGAATTAAGGTGAGCCAGCCCAAATATCTGATATATATATACACATATTCATAAATAAATTCATATCCAGATCATAAACACTAACATACGCGACATTTACCTTAAAAGTTCTGCCACATTCACGTTGAGAATTTGTCTATAGCCAATTAGGGATGTATGTTGTGGCAAGATTTAGATTCGCAGAGGACCTTACTGTGTGTAATATACAAAAGTGTACCAAATGTACATGTATAAATAAACTGTCGCCTTTACTCTTGAAATGGTGGGAACTGTGAACAATACTCGTCATATCCGCCTTTGTTCCAGGGATTGGTTTCTGGGAAGGCAGTACTGACAGCATTGTACCGCAAGAGGGCGTTCTTCAGCTTCTCAGAAGATGGGCCAGTAAACTGCACAAATGACACCTGCTCTCCAGAAGGACCTTTCAGATAGGAGTATCGGAGTCCCTGGAGTGCTCCATCGGTGAAGGTGACGCTGTAGTCCTCTAAGGGAACCTGCTGACCGAGAGTGGTCACATCAACGGCCCTGTTTCCTTTAACCTGTGGAAATCCACGGGCAGCTGACCTCTGTTCCACATCTCTTAAATAGGAATTCATATCAACTGACTCTGGCAATAGGAAGGTTATGCGCATACTGTTGATCAAAGCTGGTGTACTGAGGTTGAATGTAGGATTAAACTTCGGATAGCTGTAATTTCTGCCTGTGTCATATTCAACCGTCTCCACCACATAGTTGTTAAAGTAACTCCATCTGATAGCAAAGCTCATATTTCCTGACGATGTCAGGTTTGCAATACCAAGACTCTGGTAGTCAACGTGCCATTCCTCTGCTTGAAGCATCTCCTTCTGGAACAACATGTTCTGGTTTCCATCACCATTCCATCCCAAGCCATCAATATTCCCTACAGATCCTCCCAATATTTCGGTGTAGAACTCAGTCGAGCCTAACATGCTTCTAGCCCGCGTCCCATGCTGGAAGAGTCCATACGTTTGCCCAGTAAGCCCCGCGTGAACCTTCCACTCATTGTCAGGATGAGGTTTGTCCAAGAACATGGTACTAACTGCCTTTCTTTTGCAGTATTCTTTACCAATTTCCAAAGCATAATCTCCTACAAGCTTGTTTAATTCTATTTGTTCACCGGACGGCCCTTTCAGGTAAGCCCATTGCCAGTGAGTATCTGCGGCACCGATTGGCAAAGTATAGTTCTGTACTGGAACATTCTGTCTCTCAGCCTCACTATGGACGGTGACGGGTCTATTGGCCTTCACGCTGTTGAAGCCTAGCTGGCGTGCACGTGTTTCCAAAGCATGCACATATGTATTGAGGTTGAGACTGGGTTTCACCAAAATGCACATATGGTCATTGGGGACAACTGCTGGGCTAGAGCGTCGATCAGTAACATTGAAAATGGCCCCAGGATTGCGTTTGCTCTCAAACTGTAGCAGCTGTATAACAGCGTTGTCTAAGAATACGAAAGCACCAACAACCTGTTTCAAAAATAAACAAATTCTGTTGAAATTATTACAATAATAGCACTATTTAGATGACAGTTGTTCTTTAGAGGGTGGTTGGTTGTTGTTTAACGCCGCACTTAGCAATATTCCAGCTATATGACGGCGGTCTGTAAATAATCGAGACTGGACCAGACAATCCAGTGACTGACATCATGAGCATCGATCCACGCAATTGTGATACGATGACATGCATGAACCAAGTCAGCGAGTCTGACCACCCGATCCTGTTAGTCGTCTCTTACGACAAGCATAGTCGCCTTTTACGGCAAGCATGGGTTGCTGAAGACCTATTCTAACCCGGATCTTCACGGGTTGTTCTTTAGAGGATTAAAATGATTATAATATGTTTGTATCAATTGTCATTTTTCGTGTCCATATGATGAATATTGACTGTTCCCAAATGAATAAAGACAAACCATTTTAGTTAAAATGTAACATTTCACGACAACTGTCCATACCATTGTCATGATCACTAACTAAAATGAATAATAGAACCTGTTAGGCAGGTCTCAGAATGAAAACCAGTTTGTGGTGTTGTGCTATGTAGAACAGCCCACATGTGCATCCTCCACGTAACAAGCGAGCATCCCGGATGCCCCTGCCCTTTCAATCACCATCCGATGGAAGCTGAATATGCTCAGGTAGAATGTGTTATCATATCGGAATCTTAGATCTTGCAGACCCCTCAAAGCGCAGAACTGCTAACAAAATGCAGACTAGAAAATGTGTCGTCTCCATTTGCGATAAATTTAAGTTTGTGTCACCTGACATAAACTCACGAGCAAAAGAAACGTTACCATCCAACTATTTTGGTTCTTAAATACAGGAACATGACCAATATCAAGGAATAGAAAATTAACAACATGATGACCCGTGAAGATTCCGGAGTAGAATAGGTCTTCAGCAACCCATGCTTGCCGTAGGCTACCCGACCGCCCCCTATCGGCGATGTACATATGTGTAACAGCTATTATTAGACACAATTATTTTGTAAATTGACACTGATGGACATTGCAAATTCCTTTAACTTCTCTTAAAAATCTTATGTATGAAAAGGGTTTCGTCGCCTGTAATTTTTTATCATGTTTTCTAAGTATATTTCCCACCTTTTTTAACATAAATGTTTTTATATAATGTCCCCAGTGTTCGCTCTTTTGTACAATAAAAAAATCTTTTTTTTTGATGTCGGACTGACTCGTCATGCTGTTGTCTTATAAAGCCAAGAGTAAGATCATCCTGACGACCACTACACAAGGCAATGGCAATGTGGACGATATACTACGTGGTCTGGTCGTAGTGTATTATTAGGAATATGATCAGCAAGGTGTTAGAATGTACATGCATGTAAACCAGTGAGAGATGGCCCGTATCTGTTAGAGATGTGAATGGAGAGTGGAGAGATGAACGTCTTTACGTCACGACCTCGCAGACGTTGTGCACCTTCGTCGGATTTGCGTTTTCGATGTTGACCCGGTAGAGCACCAACATTTTCACGTAAACGGGATATTGGTATTCGTGCCCGTTAACTTTCAAAACAATCATGATAAGTTTTTGCGTTGAACATTATGCTTAATCCTTAGTCTATTCAACATTTTAAACGAAAATGTGTTTGTTCTATTTGCCACTTGGTTGCTGCTTTTTACAGACCTCGTATGTCCCATTATCGCTGATGTCCGGGACCCCGAAGACCGCTGGTGCCACCTTGCTCTGTCGGGCTTGGAGGATCTCCTTCTGGAACATCATGTTGTGATGTTGATTTCCAGAGTAGCGGAACATGAACTCTGGGGCCAGCATCCCACCCAGAATCTCAGTGTAGAACATAATGGAGTTCGTCAGGTTGTCAGTGGTAACAGAAGTGAAGGCAATACTCAGAGAGACATTACTACCACACGTGGAATAGGCAATCGACAGAAGAATGGAAAGATGTATTAAGCCCTCCATGTTTGTCTGAGGAAAACATGAAATGATCGGACTCATGCCATGTACCACTATCTTGAATTTGGAGATCACGTGTCAAGTATGTAGGTATAATTAGAAAGCTGGGGTCAACAAGATAAGGACGTTCAATATCAGAGAGACATTACTACCACACGTGGAAAAGGCAACCAACAAAATGATAACAATTTGGAAAAATGTCTGCATGTTGTCAATGAGCTTTCAGTTTAGTGTCAAGCAATAAGTTGTGTATACCTTATTGCTTATATATATATATAGTTGATCGATCGCCAGTCGGAATTAGAAAGTAGAACGTCAAAGATGCCATCCCCATGGCACCTCTGAAGATAAAAAGAGAAAAGATAAGTCACGCCACCTTGGGAGTGGTCACATGCTTCCCACCCTACAGCAGGCCTGTTTCTGACGAATAATAATATATTTTTGCCCCTATTGTTTATCAGCGCCAGTATCAACGGTCAAATAAGAAGAATAACAAGTATGTTCGTCAGTTACACAGCTGTGAAAAAAGAATTTGTTCCAGAAATACTGAAAAAAGAATTTGCCTCAAGGTTTAGCAAAATGAATAAATGTCCTGAAAAACTGTGTTGTACATGGGTGTATAAGATGACGGTTCCAGGCAGTGGTCGCATCACGTGGATCCCATGCGCTGTACTGAGAGTGTTTTGGGGACAATGAATTTGTTTTCCTGATTTTTTAACGTTTCAGTTGATGGATTGTCTGACTGATTATTGGTTGTTTGTTGGCATTGTGTGGCACATGGCAATGAACATGTTTGTTCATAACACGTGTCTTCTCGCAATACTGGCAATTTCAACAGATGCACACACTTTGACACATTGCATAGGCCATTAGCATCCTCAGATCACGAGTTGTATATACCATCAGTTATATTGACAAAGATGTTTCAGAACAGGAAGGGGAAAAGACACATACAAACTTCAGTCGGATGTCGGGGTAAGCAGGAAACACCAAGGTCACAAGTCACAAAACCTATGAGAGAAACAAGTGCTTGTTCGTCCATAGGTCTAACAACGACAATATTCCAACAGAGATTAAAAAGTCACCAACTGTCATCAGCGCAGAGTGTGTTCGATAAATGTATCAGAAATCACTCGGGTGGCTTAATCCCTAAGAACCCAAAAAGTGTTCTCTCTTTGTTGGAGTGAGTGAGTGAGTTGGGTTTGACGCCGCTTATAACAGTATTCCAGTTATATCGCGGCTCTCTATTCTGAAAAAAACCGGGATCAAACGTGACAAGGAAGATGATGATATCTCTCTTTTAGACATCAAATACAATAAAACAGGCACAAATTCAATCACAACCAGTTCTAACCGCTATTCAATATTGGGCTTCTACCTGGGGATTCCAAATAAACACACAAAAAGATTGACACTTAAAATAGCCCTGGGGACCAGACCTGGTACCTCCCTCAACATTCTTCTAATATTATCAGGCAAAACATCCATTCTCATACGAAGACAACAAACAGCCTCGACTACTGGGCTGGGGCACAACAACACCCTATATGACAACAAAATAAATACATACAAAACAAACAAAACAAACCGATGTATCAGATGCATCTAGTAATACAACCACCAAAACAACAGGGCTCGGTGTCCATGTCACCCAGCCAATACCAATTACTAATACTATTAGAATTATAAGAAACAGTTCGGTATTAAACGATGAACGCGTATATTAATGGAAACTATGTGGACGAACTGCACAGTATACTACCAGAACCTCAAATACTATATAAAATGTGAAAATAGGCAAGAGATTCCATGACATTTGTGTGTGTAGAGGAAACGGTGTTTATATTCTAAGAGCATCAGTTATGCATCATTGTTATATCAGGTATGTTGAAAATATCACTGTTTTTTGCTTGTTGTTTAACGCCGTACTCAGCAATATTCCAGCTATATGACGGCGGTCAGTAAATAATCGAGTCAGGATCAGACAATCCAGTGATTTATATCATGAGCATCGATTCACACAATTAGGATACGATGACATGCATCAACCAAATCAGCGAGCCTGACCACCCGATTCCGTTAGTCGCCCCTTACAAGCAAAGTCGCCATTTACGGCAAGCGTGGGTTGCTATAACTCTCAATGAATGAATGCGAATGGTCATTACGCCGCTAATAGCAACACGTCTGAAATATAAGTACGGAAGACACACAACCTGGGTTCATACATGTACAGTATATGACAAAAAGAAATTTTCGATGCATCAACACGGCGGCATATTTTATTCGTCAAATTTGATTTACAATATAATATAGTCTCAAAATATTTAATCGACACAGGAATGCTTAAAACAGTATGAGGTGAGGTGAAATGGGGTTTAACGTCGCGTCCAAGATTATTGCACTTATATAGCGACGTGCATACACGTTTGTGTGTGTGTGTGTGTGTGTGTGTGTGTGTGTGTGTGTGTGTGTGTGTGTGTGTGTGTGTGTGTGTGTGTGTGTGTGTGGCTGCTTGTACTAGCCCGGACTAATGCGGATTTATAGTGCTAGCCCAACATGAATATCCCACTCAGACACAGTATACTGTCTCCAAGCCGACCAGTCCTGGTTTTAGCCCCTTAAAGCCGAGCGCCAGACAGGGTAACAACAAGTACCATCTTTTAACGTCTTTTTGTAAAATAGTATGAACAATATTTGTTTCAATTCATTCCGTCTTGCATCTTACATTATGTTTTTGACTTCTATGCGATGACATTACAAACTGAATTTGAAAAAAACAATGTCTTGCCACGGTTAATGGGTGCAGTCCTCCGTCCGCTCGTACTTTGACCGGTGCCTTGGCACTGTTTCCCGCTTATCATTGCGGTAAACCTTCTGACAAATGTCATACATGTCACTGTTTAAATATAACTAAACAGCTACGAATATATATCGGGAACTATAAGAACTAGTGAGTGGGTGAGTATAGTTTCACGCCGCCTTTAGCAATATTCCAGCAATATCACGGCGGGGGACACCGGAAAATGGGCTTCACACATTGTACCAATGTCGGGAATCGAACCCGGGTCTTCGGCGTGACGAGCCAACGAGCCAACAAGCTACCCGACCGCCCCTAAGAACTAGTAGACACCAATGTTTAACAAATTGAAATGCATGTGCTTTCTATTCAATTCCCAAATGTCCCATATTCAATTTACATAATGGTTAGCCAGGATAAGTTGAGTTGTTACCTGACAATTATCCCCGTATGACTATGTTTAAAGTCTGTCTACTGGCGCGTAGTACGTAGGATATGTGCGTGTCCCGTCTTGGCTAACAATGAGTTTTAGTGGCGAGTTCAAGAGCACAGACTGGTACGTGCCGATGCGAGGTACCCGATGACTGAAATTGAGTGAGTGAGTTGGGTTTAACGCCGCTTTTAACATTATTCCAGTTATATCAAGGCGTGTCAGCTTAATGTGGGAGGAAAGCCCGAAGTGATGCAGGTCTCAGACGTTTACCACTTCGGTGAAACCCACGAGCACGGTTATGGTGCTGACAAACCTAGAAACATAATCGGGGTGAATCGGAATTCGAACCCACAATCATAGGTTTCTTGCGTGCCCAAGGGACGCAACTCTGCACAGCGAATCGCGGCGCCTTAGACGTCTGGGCCACGATTACTGAAAACGGTGACAGAATGCATGAGTTGGCCATGCCCACCTAGCTTTGACATGTTTTGTTTTTTTCGGTAATTAACTTCTGGCAAACAACTTTTAGGGAATCTGGTATCGGCTTGTCACACAGACATCTTACTATTCTTTTGAGCAACACATGTGTCCACGGAAACGTTGCCAATGTCATCGTCGTTGCATGCACGTGCACAACATGCGTGCACTCTAACTGTAACACACCAAATATGTTTACTCAAGTTCTGTGTACCGCCTACTTGTCCCAAAAGCGTTTGAAATAGTGGTTCAACTTATCCTGTATTTCCAGTGAGTCCTGTAGACTTTTCAGAAAACCATTACAAACAGACGCAATAACGTATACTTTTTGTTGTATTTCAGCAACAAGATCATCATCATTCACCAATATCCTCAATCATTAGCATCCATCCCGTATTATGATTATGATAATGGTTTCGACTCGTGTTGCACAGATGACATTTCCGTGCACGACGTCCACGTGTCATCCCACAACTTACTGCACGCCATTTGAATCAGAGGCGTCAGTGGTGTAGGGAACGTCAGCACTGGGATGATCGATGTTGGGCTAATGTCACGTTTTCTGACGAATCGAGGGTCACTCTCGACTTCCATGAACGAAGGAGTCCAGTTTGGAGACGTCCTAATGAGCGTTTTACAGTCGTTAACGTCGTACAGCATGATCGTTTTGGGGATGGGTCCTGGTTTAACTTCAGAAATATCTCATTTTGGGCTCTTTTATTTTACAGTGATTCATAAACACATGCTCTTATACAGTCGGTATTGGACAATGGATTTTGCATTGAACAGGGATTTCTTATGAATATGAAAACCGTTTTGAGGCTATTTTTTAAAGAGATCTTCGCGAGGCTGGAATCCGATCCAGATGACCAGTTATCGTCCCTGTCTTGCAACAGATCCATCGACAGCGACGCTTGCGTTGGTACCATACCTTACAGCCTTGGATTTGGGGAAACTGGAGACGAGTGTGGTTTAGCGATGACGCTTGCGTTGGTACCATACCTTACAGCCTTGGATTTGGGGAAACTGGAGACGAGTGTGGTTTAGCGATGACGCTTGCGTTGGTACCATACCTTACAGCCTTGGATTTGGGGAAACTGGAGACGAGTGTGGTTTAGCGATGAATCACGATTTCTTCTACACCGGTGAAATTGAAGGCAACGTGTTTATCGTCGTCGAAATGAGCGTTTTGCCCCACATTGTGTACGTGAATTCGACAAATTCGGTGGCGGTAGTGTCATGGTGCGAGGGGCCATATCCTACACCACGAGATCTGACTTGGTTGTTGTTCAGGCAAATTTGACAGCAAATCGCTACATGAATCAAATTTTTTAACATCACCTTCTTCCAATCAATGACCGCCAAAGGGAGCTGTTTCAACAGGACAAAGCTCCACCGGACACATCGTGCCACGGTAGACTACCCTCATAATGCCAACATCAACGGCTTGACCTGGCCGTCGAGATCTCCAGATCTCAACCCAATCGAACACCTCTGGGATGAACTCGATTGACGTGTACATCAATGTCAGAACACGCCGCAGACACTCCCACAACTGGCCAACGCGCTAGAAGCACATAGGCGCAGTTAGTCTGGGTTTTCTCTGACATGTATATTTGTTATTACCGGGCCACACATTTCAGCAGGAGGTCAGGTAATGTGGTTTTAAACATTTTCTTCAGGAAGCAATAGTAAAAAATCAGTTACCTGAACAGAAAACTATATATATTTCCCTTAAAAAACACACGTTTTACCAGACACACAAATGTTAAACAAACAAAAGTTTGTGTTTGTGTTTACCATTATACTTGCCCGTTTAGCTGTCGTATACCTGTAAAATAGATAAAAGTTGTGTACAGTACTGTGTGGAAATGAATAAAATAATGAAATAAGGAACGAGGTCTTCAGGCAAGACATTTCAAAACAATATGCAGCATAAGGTGTTGAACATATTCTTTAGTTAATGTCAAATTATAGTTTTCACTCGTGCACATACCTTTAGCTACATTAGAAATGATATATATTTCATGTTAATTTGTTATCGTTAATTACCCATATCGAAAATCAATCAACATATACTACAAGTCATACTGATCACCTTTTAACTGTTTGAATTTGTATTGTTTTATTTTAAACATGACTGTGTTGAAAATACGTAGAAAATATGTAGATTATGCAATTAATTTAGTGAGACTGTCCAACTCATTGTCAGTGGATGCCCAGCTTTGGCACAAACCCAGTATCTTAAGCGACATGATGGAGTGGCTCGATGATTTTATTACTGTTTTCGCCATGCTTGTGGTTTTGACACAGAGGTCCATCCATGGTACGACCCGGAATATGTCATGGAAAATGATAAATACAATTTTTTTTGGAATAGATCCATATACAGCATCAGACCTGCTGACTTGGTTGATGCATGTCATCGATCCAAATTGCGTGGATCGATGCTCATGATGTCAATCACTGGATTGTCTGGTCCAGACTCGATTATTTACAGACCGCCGTCATATAGCTGTAATATTGCTGAGTGCGGCGTTAAACAACAAACAAACAAAGCATCAGACCTATCCAGGTCAACAAACCTGATCTTGTGCTTTTTGATAAATCCATTGAAATCATATATATGATTGAATTTTCTAGCCCTGATGTGATTAACAAGATTCAGGAAAAACATAGCAAAAAATGCGGACCTCATTTTCGAAGTGTCAGGCTTGCATCCTAAGTACCAAGTTGTCCGACTCCCCATTGTTCTCGGTGCCTTAGGTTTGGTACCTCCCAATCCGCTGACTGACATTCGGAGAGTACCCGGGTATGTTGTCAGGAATACAGCCCTTCTGACAATCTGGGTAACGCAGAAAGCTGCCGTATTGGAGAATCTTCACATTCTCCGAAAAAATTTGGGTGGGTTCAACTGGGCAGTGCTTCCTGGGAGAAATCCCATTTGTTGTCTGGGCTGCATGTAGAGGGGGCAAGGAGCCTGAGCTGATGATGAGCCTAACAAGCCTGACTGTGACAATCTGGGTAATGCAGAAAGCTGCAGTATTGGAGAGTTATCACATTCTCCGAAAAGTTCTGGGTGGGTTCGACTGAGGAGTACTTCCTGGGAAAAATCCCATTTGCTGTCTGGACTGCACATAGAGGGGGCAAGGGCCCGGAGCTTAGTGCAAGGAATCGATAAGGAGAGCGTAGCATCAGACAACAGCTGTACATCCAGTTTTCCTGCCACATTATCGAACTCCATCTGGTGTGATCAAGACATCATCTGTTTAAAGCACGGGACGTTAGTTCTCTTCACAGGCGACTCCTGGTTCCATCTTGACAGCAGTGATGGCTGTCAGCGTGTTTATAGAGGGCGGATGGAATGTTACCGACCCGTGTGTTCTTGTGCAGCGTCAGGCTATGAATTCTTATCTTTATAAACACATTGTGTGAATGGCAGGTGCTACCGATTGGGCATGACATGCTTACACTTTCCACGAACACCTGCTGTCTTCACTGAGTTTCAGTGGTCCATTCAGCTATTTTTCCCTTTACGCCAAATAGAATCTGTTTCGGCAGATAATCTAGACTGGATATTCTCTTGCATTGACAATTTGTATTGTTCAATGTTCTGTATACGGTGGTGAGAGCGTAGTGGTGTGGGGAGACATCACTGCACACTTCAGGACCCCTCTAGTGGTCATCGATGGAAAATTGACAGGTATAAAGGACCATGACAAAGTCATGCCTCAGACATGCATCTGACTTGAAAAAAGGCCCTAGGCCCATCATGCAAACAAGATGAAAAATAAAAATTATACGTATCTGCTGAATAAACGGATGTAGGCGAGTACACTTCATGTTACAGGTACATGTACAGGTGATTTGCTTCTAATCATTAGTACTTGATAAAGGAATTTAATCAAAGATTTAATAGTGTCGGTTGACATAAGTCTTACTAAGGTTTCACTTATTGGTGGATTTATGAGATGATTAGTGAAACATTCTCTTCACGTTTGGGAAAAGCTGTCACATTTGAGCCGTACATGTAATTCATCCTCAACATAATCAACGCCTCTAGCATGGCAGATTAAACAGAAGCGTTCGGTTTATGGAGTCTTTGTAATGCAGCCGCATTCAACAGCAAGTCTGAAGTTATAACACCGCAACATGGTGAGAATAATAATTACTTTTAGATGAAGCATCGAGGTGAAGCATGAAGTGATGCCAAGTTGAAAGAAGCAGTCATAGCATCTCTGTTCGAAGCTCACCATAATGATGAGATGCATCCAAAGTCTTAAGACGGCCATATATATCCAAAACTATATCTAAATAAAATATTTCTGACATAAGATGCCAAAGTATTTTTACTTATATCATCAAGAGTTTTAATCATTGTATATGCTTGGTGGGGAAGTCTATGGTGCTGTAACGGGATCAGTCTGCACCAGTACCTACTTGCTCAGGATGTATAAGATATTGCATGGATACTCTGACACATTCTCATTTGCATCTAGATACCATTATGCAGACTGAACCTATATACTGTAGTGCTATTGTACCTGCAACAGATAATGTTACTGTAAATGGCTGACATGTCTTCGAAATACATATTTTTGAAGCAGCCTGTCTAAAAATTATGTGAAACCAACTGTGGTTTTATCTGTTTCGGCAGAAAATCTAGGATGGTTATTCCCTTACATTGACATATATATGATTAATATGTTTTTTTTGTTACATCGCGAAAAGATCATTTCAATCTTATCAAGGCATGTTTATTACATCTTAATGGCTCAATCATCAAAATTACAGCTATATAATTTGTTAATGTGAAGTTTACACAATAAACGGCTTTTGCACTGGACGAAAGGCCGGTCACATGACCGCGCAACTGACGTTCATAAGCGTACGAAAGACACACTTTGACGTTCATATTGACATCTCGTTTTCGCGAGACTTTAGTCTTCAAATGAAGTAAACACTGGCGCACTGCTTCTACTTTACTTTAGAAACCCCTGTGAATTCCCTAGTACGAATACTTACGATAGAAGCGGTTTTTTTCAGATTATTTAGACTCTTTAATCTTGAACTCAGCTTTTAAGCAGACATTGGGAAAAATCAGGAAGTTTGGCAAATCACAAATATCCCTGCTACGACCAATCCTAGTGTACAAAACGAAGAAAGGCACATCTATCGTAGTATCGACTCGATCCGTGTCTAGACAGACATATACAGTCGATAGCAATCGATGAATTTTACCAGACTATTTGACACATTTTTACAAACACCTTTCAATCATCGGCCAACTGATTAATGACGACTAACACTTGTCATCGCCACTGGTTCATCAACAACTTTGTAAATCTCCTATCACGTTTTACGTGTCGGCCATTTTGACTTCTTGTAAATGATGTAAATGTATTACGACGCGCTGCAATTGTGACTGAAAAACTGAGGTAGTTCTTAACATACCTTCCGCATCTAATGGTGATATTATCTGAATATATATGCTGTGAACACTATACAAAATACATGTATGTCACTGTAGAACAATGTTCCTTTTGAGGAACTACTTTATTCTGCGATACTTCATTGACTGACAGTGTAAACGTAAAATAACACGTACTGAATAAAATTTTGTAAGGATTTAGATCTACATCTTTCGAGGTAAAATAGTGATATAAGAATCATAAGAATTGCCTTTCACTATGATTCAATCAACCACTGGTTCACAAGACGTAGACTCTGATATTTACATATTTCCTTGAATGCCTTTGTGAGTTGATTTGAGTATGAACCTTCATAGAGTGAGAGCCAGTTGTTGTCGCAAGCTCCGACCTTCATACAGTTTGGCCCTCCCTCTGTGAAGATTCATACTCCAATCAACTCACAAAGGCATTCTTAATCAAGGAAATATGTAAATAACAGAGTCTACGCCTTGTGAACTAGTGGTTGATTGAATGATAGAATGAGCAGCGATCCACGACTTCAGGATACAATGAATTACGATCAGCAGGTTACATTGCTCCAGTTTATCCCAATTCCAATCTCCCCATTAAAGAGGCTTGTGTATAGGGAAAGTTGAAGATACAAGATACAAGAAACTTTATTAAGCGGCGGCAAAGCAATACAAAAGTCACTGTAATTCTTAACGCCAGTTGTTCTTGAAAAAAACCTGCCCCTGCAAAACGACGTGCAGTTTGTAAACCTTGTAGTCATGTTGCACATGCACCTTTTGCTTGAAGTGTACAAACTTCCTTCTGGCTTAAAGTGAAACATGGTACACACATGAAACAGCTTATATGATAGAACCTGTTGGAGGCATTAGAACCATTTGCAGTAAGGGATGAAGGCAGTAATGGAAAGTCACTAAAGGAGTTCAAAGCAAGGAAAACTGTTGATTTTTAGCGCCTGTGTATATGGCGTGTAGTCTCCAGTACCGAATGACTAAGTCTCGATAGAGGGTGACTGGATGGTTACAATGGGTGATCTGTGTGAGTGTTAATTTATAGTGGATTCTTGTTCATCACCCACTGTTCAACCAACGAATCAAGCCACGGTCCGGATCGACCATATTTCTTGTGCAACAAATGCTATAGCCCTGCAGCATCTACTCTAAACATTGCTTGAATATGATCCACGCCATCGGAGCACGATGACACGCAAATAAACATTGCTTGAATATGATCAACGCCATCGGAGCACGATGACACGCAAATAAACATTGCTTGAATATGATCCACGCCATCGGAGCACGATGACACGCAAATAAACATTGCTTGAATATGATCAACGCCATCGGAGCACGATGACACGCAAATAAACATTGCTTGAATATGATCCACGCCATCGGAGCACGATGACACGCAAATAAACATTGCTTGAATATGATCCACGCCATCGGAGCACGATGACACGCAAATAAACATTGCTTGAATATGATCCACGCCATCGGAGCACGATGACACGCAAATAAACATTGCTTGAATATGATCCACGCCATCGGAGCACGATGACACGCAAATAAACATTGCTTGAATATGATCCAAGCCATCGGAGCACGATGACACGCAAATAAACATTGCTTGAATATGATCCACGCCATCGGAGCACGATGACACGCAAATAAACATTGCTTGAATATGATCCAAGCCATCGGAGCACGATGACACGCAAATAAACATTGCTTGAATATGATCCACGCCACCGGAGCACGATGACACGCAAATAAACATTGCTTGAATGTGATCCACGCCATCGGAGCACGATGACACGCAAATAAACATTGCTTGAATATGATCCACGCCATCGGAGCACGATGACACGCAAAAGGAGCCAAAGTACAAAGCTTGCCCACCCGATCCAACATACGACAAGCAATTTAGTGCTTGGGACCTATTCTAATCCATACGGACGGGTGGGGTATATAAATTCAAGACCAATGCAATTCGCAGTAAGAGTAAAAGATAGACTCTTACTCGGCTTACATATGTTACTTAGACGTGTTTGCTTCACAATTTACATGTAAGGTTTTCACATCTTTTACCAATACCACTAACAAAATAACAGCTCCTACGATGCTGCAGTGAAGGAATGCTTTTTGTTTCATAATATGGAATATAAAACATCAACAACAGAGAATAACCAGAATAACAGATTCCATTGGGCCCAAAGTGTAAACTAGTGGAGGAAACTAAATGAATGGATCATACGTTTCCACTCCTCAAAGCAGAGTTCATTGTACGATTTCAACTATGTCAGGGCCATGTCTTTATGATTCACTATCACATAATGATGATACCAGTTGTTCGCGAAAAGGTGAGCGTATCCTGCCCCACTGGAAAAGAGTGAGTGAGTTGGGTTTAACGCCGCTTTTAACAGTATTCCAGTTATATCACGGCGTGTCAGTTTAATGTGGGAGGAAAGCCCAAAGTGATGCAGGTCTCAGACGTTCACCACTTTGGTGAAACCCACGAGCACGGGTATGGTGCTGACAAACCTAGAAACATAATCGGGGCGAACCGGGATTCGAATCCACAATCATAGGTTTCTGGCATGTCCAAGGGACGCAACTCTGCACAGCGAATCGCGGCGCTTTAGACGACTGGGCCACACGTGCCCCCAACTGGAAGAGGGCACTGATGTAAGGACAATCTACTGATGAGTGATACCCTAAATTAGATACGTTTGGCCATCATTGATAGGTGACAAGATATTCTGGATAAACTTGTGTATCACTGATGGGTAATATTCTGGATAGTCTTGGGTATCACCGATAGGTGATAAGATATTCTGGATAAGCTTGGGTGTCATTGAAAATGATGAACATGCCAGGATCGTCGACTTTGTTCACCACAGAGTCATATAATATTTGATTCTTTGAATCTCTTGTCGGTGGAACTTTCATTTGTTCAGCCCCTTTACAGTACATCCCCGTGAGGACCCGGGCCAGGAACATTTGTTTGTGACCCTGCCCGTCTGGTACAGCATACTGGTCCATGTCAGAGTAAGAAGCATCGACAGCAAAGTACACGCCCTTTCCATAAGCGGTCGCTGAAAATGTGTGAAAAAACATAAATGATAATTTATTAAATGTAATGACAGCGACAAAATCCTGCAAATTATTTAGCTTACTTGAAATTTAAGACGTACGTTCAAACAAAAAGTAACAATAATAATAATGAGTCCATTTGTATGGCGCCAAACTCCATACTGGCTCGTGTGCTCATGACGCTTACATTATCACCCCAGTCAATGGATCAGTGAGCACTAGTTTTTTCATTCTTAGCTCATAATTCTTATATTCTATCTCTGATGGAAAACACAGTCTATCTGGTCCGATGATACTTCATAATTCATGATCTCAGCTATCCATATCCATCTTCCCGAGGCAAGCGAGTTAACTGACTATAAAAGTCCACTTTCCACCCTTGCCGAACTAGGCTGGTATTATGGAGTTACATTTTGGCTGGACTAACGAGTCTATGCATAGTCCAATCAAAATCGCGCACCGAAATCGAAATCCGGTTCGTAAATAGTCATGCAGATTTCGGTCGACTGCAGGATTTGCAAAGCATGTGCACCGCTAACTCGTTGTCAACAGATATTTTCTAAATCTTTTCATGCTTTTAATCAAGGTACTCACGTGATTTGATGCACTTCGCGATGTAAGACTCGTTTTATCACAATATAGATCTTGATTATAAATCAGATCGTCTTGACTGGGCGCCACCGTTTTGTTTGAAGCAAATGCAAGTGATACGAGAGGTTGAATCTGATTGGTCAATAGGAGAGGCATAGACAGGACATAACTCGTAATAGCCACTGGTGGCGCTACGATCGAGCCCAGGTATTCCAGCCTAGTTCGGCAAGGGTGGAAACTGGACTTTTAAAGTCAGTTAACTCTCTTGCCTCGGGAAGATGATCCATATCATGACCCACGCCTTTGGAGTACATTGAAACACTATCACCCAGGTCACCAACAACCCGATCCATTATGTCACCTCCTACGATAAGCACAGGGTTCGAACCAGGAGTCCGCACAAGCCGAGGAACAAGGCCGTACATATATCAGTAATAACACGAACTTACCATTTTTTCCACAGTAGCTCCGATTAAAACCATTCTTTGCTATAAATGGTACGCCGTCCATGCTTGTACCGTGCCAAAGGACCTTTTCATTGTTGTGTCCTGGATTCTGTTTTTCTAGCCGCTGCTTCATTGCTGCATATTGTCGCCATAGCGATTGAGTCTGAACCCGCTCTATCTGAAAAGAAGTGATAATTGAACTTTGACAAAAAGTACAAATACAAAACGCCCCAAATGTAAGCTTTTTATTACGAGGGGCAGCTGAAAAGGTCTTATCCTAACTATGGTGAAGCATGGAGTCCATCAAATGGGCATGGAAGGCCTGGGGAATGGCCTGCCATATCCTCCTCAAATCCTGTGCCAAGTCACGGACGTTATTTGGAGGATGTGGAAGACGACGCAGACGGCGCTCCATTTCATCCCACACATGCTCTATTGGGGAGAGATCTGGAAAATTTGCAGGCCATGGCAGTAACATGACATTGTTATGGTGAAGGAAATCCATTGCGACCCTAGCTGTGTGAGGACGAGCGTTGTCCTGTTGAAATGTCAATCCCGGGCCATGACGTTGCAGGAAAGGAATGACCACAGGCCTCAGAATCTGAACTCTGTAGCCAACACCGCTGAGACTGCCCTGAACAACCACTAAATGGGTTCGGTGGCGTGCTGTTATCCCACCCCAAATCATCACAGAGCCACCTCCAAAACGATTACTCTCCACAATACAGTTGCGTGCATAACGTTCCCCCAAACGCCGGTAGACACGTTGGCGCCCGTCACTGTGGGAAATGTTGAACCTCGATTCATCTGTAAAGACAACATTTCTCCACCATATTCGAGGTTGGAGAACATGATTTCGACACCATCTTAGACGGTTGACTCGATGACGGTGTGTCAGTATGGGACGTATGGCAGGGCGTCGTGGTCGAATCCCGTACTGACATAAACGATTCCTGACAGTGTTGGGATGGATACGGCGCAGTCCAGGAATTGTCTGGGACGTCGTTACTGCCGTTTGGAACCTGTGTCGGAGATGTGTAACTCGAATCCATCTGTCCTGTCTTGGTGTCGTTACTCGGGGACGTCCTGAACGTGGGTGGTCGGCAACGTCATTTGTGTTCTGATAACGCCTCACCAATGCCGATATCGTGTTACGATGGCATTGGAAATGTGTTCCCACCTGTTGTTGCCTCATTGCCGCTCGGATCATTCCAATGGCTTCATGACGCTGTGCAGCTGTCAATCTTGGCCTGATTTGCTTGTGATATGCTTGTGTCTGCGCCTGAGAAGTTTTGAATTTTTGAATGACCACATATCATGCTTTCCAAAGTGACAGCGAATTTTGAGTTGCACATGCTGTGTACAGCTGCACAGGATGCACGTGCAGTAACACATTGCACGTCCATAGGCCCCCATCAATGAAGTCATATCGCATGGCACGGGCATGAGCGTTTGAATGTCTCCAATAATTGCTGTGTTCAAACCTATATTTCATATATGGACGATGTGCCCTTATATCTATATTTTCTCCGTGCACAGTTTCTTTATGTGGCTAGTATATAACACAAAACTACTTCTTAAGTCAAGGGGTGGTGAACCGTCTCTGTGTGTCAGGCAGGCAGAATTTACATTTCAAGGTTAACATTTGTCATGAAATATTTAATTCCCCAGACGAGAACTACACCAAAAGTATACAATAAATAGTATACCCCCCCCCCCCCCCCCCCCCCCCGTGGAATATATTACCATATGTTACCAACGGCAACAATGATATCGATGAATGAACTTTGTGTTACATGTTTGCATCGGTGGCTTTATCTTAAACATGGGTGATTAAATAAGTTTTCCTCGGCCTGTGTACTGGTATTTATACTGAATATAAAATTATCAATGCAAGAGAATAACCAGCCCATTTCGTGCGAAGGGAAAGGGCTGTGAAAACTATATGAATGGACCACTGAAAATCAGTGTCGACACCAGGTGTTCGCAAAAAGTATACAAATGTCCTGTCCCACCAGTAGAACCAGCTATTTACACAGTTTGCATAAAAAGTAAGTATTTATTGCTTGACGCCACACAGCAGAGACCGCGTCCGTGGTCTAATGGTAGAGCGTCCGCCCGGAGAGCGGAAGGTCCGGGGTTCGATCCCCGACCGCGTCATACCAAAAGACGTTAAAAGATGGTACTTGTTGTTACCCTATCTGGCGCTCGGCATTAAGGGGCTAAAACAAGGACGACTCGGAGTCAGTATACTGTGTCTGAGTGGGGTATTCATGTTAAACTGCGGCATTGCATCTCAGTGAGCTAGCACTATAAATCGGCATCAGTCCGGACTAGAACAAGCAGCCACACACACATACACGTGCATGCACGTCGCTATATAAGTGCAATAATCCATGACGCGGCGTTAAACCCCATTTCACCTCACCTCACCACACAGCAGAACAAATGAATTAACCAATGAACGGAATTTTATTAAGAGTGTAAAGCACCTTCCAAGTTGAGGAACAGTTGCATTATTTAATTATAATCAGTACCTTAAGGATAGATCTTTCTCTTCCGACACTGCCAATAAATGTCTTTTCTACTTTGGTATATTCGGTGGTTTCTTTGTTGACTTCAAACTGTTCACTTTCTGTGTGCATTGGACACCAGTGCGAAGGTGCATCGAATGCTGAACCTGTGAATTCAATTAAAGTGTGCGTGATGGACATATATCTACTAATAACCACTATTTGTTTTTTTATTGTCAGATGAACTGCAGTCAGTCGTCCTGTTGGTCTCTTATCAACATGCTGTCTGGTTCAGATGTGAAAAACAAATAGTTTCAAATCAAAGACAATTTCAATGGCATTGCATATCATTATGATTACTTTACACTCCCAAGCTGAAGTATGTATATATTACTGATACCTCTTACCTTTGCTTAAATCTTTTCTGATGACACGAACTCTATCTGCATCATTATACAGATCATATTCCTCCATTTTCTTCAAATCAAGAACATACACCTTGCCATCGATGACTGGTAGGCAGAGAGTCGGCTTCTCGTTCACATGAGCATCTTCAATCTTTTGGTTGATGATTATATCATAATCTTGAATCGCACCTGCGCCTGATAGGTCAGTGTATCCCCACCTCGCGTATGACGAGATTAGTTTTGCCTTCTCATCCTGTTTTTGTTGCAGAAGGATTGCCTTCACAATGGTGTGAACTGCGTCCGTGGCTGCCATCACGTCGGATGTTAGACCCTGTAGTTCAACTTTACCAAGCATGTGGTTGTAGTCAACGGAAATACAGTGCTTTGAACTTAGTTTCCGAATTTTATCCTGCTGCAACATACAGACAAATACAAAATAATAAAACAAAGACAACCAAACTGCATACAGAAAGGATTTCTCTTGTTCTGAGGCCATCGTCCTATGCACACTGTATAGTATTACATATGGTTAAGAAATGCCAGTTAAGCGAAACATGAAATTGATTTTTTATTGCGTGGTACAAGCTAAGCATGTGTTTGTTTGAGTTAAATATCCCCTAAGTTATGCATATAGACTAAACATTTAAATGTTAGTGAGACCACACAGAGGTGAGAATGGTTTTTCGCCGCTTTCAGAATATATTCCAGCGGTATCACGCCGGAGACACCAGAAATAGGCTTCCCACATTGGACCCATTGAACCCGGGTCTTCGACGTGACGAGCGAACGCTTTAACAACTAGGCTACCCGACCACCCCCATTGTAGTGTGAGATATGTAGGAGTATTAGTAGTATTTGGTTCATATAGTTTACCTGTCGTAGATTCGCATTTTTCAGCTGGTCATCTGAAATATTTTTTGTTGTAATTGCTTCATTAACAAACGTTTCTAACAGGCTGACAGCTGTTTCCACGTGCATGATGTCATCTGAGAACATATGCACAAAAACCTTGGTTTCAGGCTGTGTTCTTAATTCCTCAGTTGCCTCGACTGTAGCTCCTTCCATAGCATCAATATCTGAAGTAGGATAGGATTGGGTGAAATCATTTAGTTATATTTTCTGGAAATATTTATATTAACTATAATAAAGAAATAAACAATTATGGGAAGTTTTTTATAGTACAATAGGGAGCATGAACCAGGAGTGGAGCTTTATGTATGAACAAAGGTGGTTAATTCTTGTATTTACCAAAGATCCTGTTTTTACGGTTTTTTACGGCTGTAATCTTCATCTTTTCGTCGTCGGTCTTCTTTTTCTGACGTTGGAAGATCTGTAGTAGCTATAGATTAAGGAAGGCAGATAAATTTAAATCCCTCACAATTATGTTATTATATTGTAGTTATTCACCGAAGCTTTGAGTGATTTGTGGTGTATAACAAAGAATGAATGAATGAAGAAACCGATTTGTTTTACAAAGTTGAAGTTTGTTCTGGTAGTTGTTCAACGCAGTGCAAATATGACCATACGAATATAAACAGAACTTTATCCATATCCTCCGTCGGTTTACCAACATTGTTTTAGTTAGTTGTAGGCAGGTAGATGGTAAATAACAGATATTTACAAACTTACCTTAAATATTGAAGTGTCGTTAAATACGACGATCTTCACTTCCTCCAGAGATGAATCTGGATTGCCTTGGCTAAACCGTTCAACAGTCGCCATCATGGTTTCGGCAACCATAGCATTTGGGTATCCAAGGTTACCAGTACCGAGAGCTGGAAAAGCAATGGTCTTGTGTCCTTCCTGTGAAGCTTCTTGGAGGCAATCTGAGATCACTTCCTGGAGAACCTAATCATAATTGTCCAAAATACAAATGTTCACAAATCCATTTAGGTGGGAACAATTAGATATTAAGAGAAACTTTGTCTTATCATATGAAACATACGTCTGTACCCCAAAGAACCATATTCCGGCAGAGATAAATCACTTTCATACGAAGGTGTACCAGTTGTGGATGTTGAATTTGTGAAACGTTCTCTGATTGGACTATCGACATGTGCAATAGTCCAATCATATTTTGCACAGGATAGTGGGCTTGATGTAGCAGGGGTGGAAACAAGACTTTGATAAAAAGGCTAGTGACCGCTCTTGCCTCGGGAAGATGCATGTGTACATATTATCAAAGCGTAACTTTCGGCAGGTAGGATGGTACGCTATATTGTACGGTAGTTAGTTAATAATGGATCGCAATGGTGTACGCTTACTAACCTACTGAACATGTCATATGCAAAGTGTTTCTTGTTCTGTGTTCAACTTTTGTGACACATCAATTAGGATTGATCGATGCTGATTCGATACTGGTAAACAAAGTACCTGCCATTTGCGACTCACGGGCGGGCAACTCCATTTTACAGTAAACTACGGTTATAACGAACTCATATGGACTACTAATTTTATTTCGTTATAAACGTAGTTCGTTGTAAGCATATATACAGCATAACCACAGCAAATAAAATAAAATAAAATAAAAAAGTTAGTTCGTTATATCCGTCAGTTCGTTATAAGCGTGTTCGTTATAACCGTAGTTTACTGTATATATATATATATATATATATAGCTATGTTGTGGTGTGATACGTGTGGATTCTATGGTTCACATCACTTCCTGGTTTGGATTATCATAATCAGTATGCATACGACCTAGGTTTGGTCAAGGGACCTCGTCTAAGTAAATGGGTTCTTTTCTATCCAATTTCGAATGGAGGTCGGAGTAAGTCCACGTCAAAGACATTCCAGGAACTATCATAAAAATGGTAACGTGTACACTTACGAGTGGCCGAGACAGACCGCAACGAGTCCTGTATTCGACCAAGCGATGACGTATTGTGCTTATTTTTGCATAAGTAAACAGCAGTCAGGGGGTGTGGTTTACGAGATTTACCGACACCGCGATAATATAGAGTCATACCATTCGTTCACTAACCAAGATATTTACTACTCAGCTGTGAAACATGTTTGCCTCTATATACATCAAGGAAAAGTTCAATCAATGTGAAATCGTATTTGTAATTCGAACTTCAATGTGTTATATCGCCACTAGGGATGTCATAAATATGCGTACAATAGCGTAATCCGTATACATGTACATACATACAGCGCAAAAATATCAGGCACCAAAACATTATTATTTTCAGGAATTAAAATGTGTCGTATACCCTGCAACACTGCGTCCCGTCCTTCCATGCTGGGAGACAAGCGTGGTATACGTGTTGACACCAGAGTTTTCCCCCTCCAGTGATGGCAAATTGTCCGGCTGGAATCCCTGTAGGGTACCTGTCCTCACATTCGTGCTGCATTTCCACTCCAGCAGCCAAAAGGATGGACTTGGATAGAGAGCCGTTCCTAAGTTGAAGATCGGGTGATGCGCTGTTCACTATGACGTCAGTCTATTGTCAAAATTAAAATGTATATATCGATATCACAAGTCCTCTTCGACATTTTGAATCAATACCCTACAAACATACATGGCTCTAGTACCAATGTATCTGCAGTGTACCTGATGGGTTACATCCCATTAGTAAGACATCCCATTAGTGAGACACCCATTGTAAGACAGTGGAGTAGGTGGGATTAATTAAACAAACACAGCCAGTCTACCCACTTATCAATGGTCACAGCCCATGATTAGCAGATTAATTAATAAGAGTAGGCCAGTAATTCTGTTTGAATATTCTCAGGAAATAAATGAGTTAGGAGCTAGTAGGAGCTTACTCAAAAAGTTGAGATGCATGTTTTGTTAAAACTTATTTATTACACATATAAATTCCCTCTAGTCTGTGAACATTTCATGCACAATCATGGCAGGTTTGCAGCAGGTTGAGTTCATTACCAGTAAAAGACGTACCCCCTAGGTTTTGTCAGAAATGTCACTGTACACAACCACCCACCAGTAGACACCAGCAGAATCCAGTTCCTTGGCAGCTTAAGGAAGAGAGCAAGAGAAGAACCAACCACTCCTATGACAGCCCTCTACAACGACGAGGTCTTGAGACATGATCCGGAGGCTGCAGCTATATTTCCCTCCTTCAGCTCAGTCGGCAGCGCCATGTACAGACACCGCACACACCATCCCGAAACTCCCTAAAACTAGAGCTGAAGTCGACATTGCAGCACCCTGGAGAGAGACCCATGATGGTGAGCGGTTTCTGCTTTTTGCCGACGGTGAAGAAGACAACTGATGATCAGCTTAGAGTCCTCCAGTCAGCTTCCACTGTCTACATGGATGGTACTTTCTCCGCCTGCCCAGATCTTTGGAATCAGCTTTACATACTGCATGCACGGAAAGGAAGCATTACCTATCCCCTAGTCTACGCATTGATGCCTGATCGTCGGACTACAACTTACCAACGCCTCTTTGCTCAGTTGAAGGTCCACATCCAACATCTACTGAACCAACCATTCAACCCAGAGACATTCAAGGTGGACTTTGAAGTTGCTGCCATTAGAGCCCTCCGGACAGTTTCTTCCACTTTACCCAGGCGATTTGGCGGAAAACGCAGGAGCTTGGTCTTGCTGTTGGATACAGAGATAACCCCCTTGTGGAACAGTGGATCCGACGAGCTGCTGCCTTGCCTCTGCTGCCTCTTCAACAGGTTCAGGATGCATGGATTGACTCCATGAACCAGTCTCCCGATGTACCGAATGCTGACGAATTCAACGACTACATAGTCACAAACTGGGTGGATTATGCATGAAGCCAGATTCCCTCTTTCACTGTGGAACCATCACCAGACATTCGGCCCAAGTACCAACAACAACCTGGAGGGTTTCCACAGTCGCCTCAATGCATCACTGAATCATCGTCATCCTAATCTCTACAGGTTCATCGAGATCATCAAGAAGATTGAGAAATCTGAGAAGACCAAGCTATCTCAGTTAGACCTAGGTGCAGCTCCACCAGCAAGAAAGCGTGTTTACAAGGAGATTGACAATCGACTTTCCAGACTGAAGGATCAGCTATCCCAGGGTGTCAAGACACCACTCCAGTTCTTGGATGCTGTTGGCAAACTTCTGAAGATGGATTAAGGTTGTGTCAGTGTGACAACCTCGATGTGAACTGTGATGTGAACTGTGAAATTAACTTTAACTGCACTCTAAGTGGCGAATATTTTAAAACAATGGATTTAAGGGATGGATGAATTAAAATGTTGAATGAAATAAAGTTAAAGAGGGTATCAAGCATCTTGAGTCATTTCTTTTGTCTATAATAAGACAAGTCCATTTTCATGATAGGGGTTAATTACCTGATTAACATGTGCAACCAGGTATGACATTGTTGTTTTAAGGTGTCTCACAACTGGGCTGTCTTACTAATGGGAGGAGACCACCTGATGTACACATATTCTAACATTGAGCATATCGGTATGATATATGAAAATACTAGATATTACTGACGCATGCGTATACACGCGTGGAAACAGTAGCCATGCCTGTTAAACATACCTGTTGCGTCGTAATATCTTCCTCTATGATGACTATTTCAATGGGTGCACTCGACTCAACACCAACCTCGGGCGGTGAATAGTCCCGTGGAGAACGTCCTGGAGTATACACATTACACATTCAGAGTGTAAATACCACTAAAAAGATTGAGTGAGTATGGTTTTACGCCGCTTTTAGCAATATTGATACAATATCACGGCGGGGACACCGGAAATGAGCTTCCCACATTGTACCCATGTTGGGAATGGAACCCGGGTCTTCGTCGTGACGAGCGAACGCTTCAACCACTAGGCTACCCACCGCCGACTACTAAAAAGATCATGTAAAGCTAACACAATGTGAACAGGTTTGAAGTAAAACATTTAAAACATTTAATATAACTAAAATTCAGCTGACACAATGTGAACAGGTTTGAAGTAAAAATTTAATATAACTAAAATTCAGAAAAATTGCAAAAGGAATTCAGGACATAACTCACAGCGTGATTTAAGAATTGCCTTTTATTTTGTGTGAGTTCATTGGAGTATGAACTTTCATTGACTGAGGGCCAAACTGTATGAACGTCGGGGCTTCTTATATTTTGTTCTGTTACTATTTATTACCTCGAAGGGTGTAGTTCTAAACACAATTTTATTTAGAACTTGTGACTTCATATTCACGCTGACAGTCACACAACAACCCGCTGTATCGCGGAATGAAGTAATTACTCAAAAGGAGATGTGACATGAGCGTATGCGTGCTGACATTGTTCTACAGAGACAGTTTTTGTATTTTGTTTACAACAAATATAATCAAATGATAGCCTCATAAGATGCGATAGGTCTGTTAAGAACTACCTCATTACGTCAATCACAATGGGGGGGCGGTCGGGTAGGCTAGTGGTTAAAGCGTTCGCTCGTCACGCCGAAGACCCGGGTTCGAATCCCGACATGGGTACAATGTGTGAAGCCCATTTCTGGTGTCCCCCGCCGTGATATTGCTGGAATATTGCTAAAAGCGGCGTAAAACCAAATTCACTCACTCAATCACAATGCCCGGTACGATAAACGTGACGCGACAGAATTACATTTCTTCGTTTCGCTGACGAGGATTGGTCGCAGTGAGGATATTATTGAACGATCATGCAGTCAAACTCTCTGACCTTTCTCAATGTATGTAAAACGCTGTGTTCAAGATTAAAATGTCTAGATGATATGAAACAACGCCTCTGTATGGATTCGTACTAGGGAAAGCCATTCTTTATTACAATTATGAACGACGTCTCGTTGTAGGTTCTAACACCGTTATCAAGCAAGTTGTGTTAGAACCTACATCGAAACGGCACTCCTAATTGTAATAATGGAGTTGTTCATCCATATATCTTATCCTTACTTAGTACTCCAACTTCTAAATACCTCTCAAAGAAGTTACAGCCTGATGGTTCGTGCATTAGTTTTTCAGCCTGAAGATATGAGTGAGTGAGTGAGTGAGTATGGTTTTACCCGGCTTTTAGCAATATTCCAACAATATCACGGCGGGGGATACCGAAAATAGGCTTCATACATTGTACCCATGTGGGGAATCGAACCCGGGTCTTCGTCGTGACGAGCGAACGCTTTAACCACTAGGCTACCCCACCGCCCTTGAAGATATGAGTTCTATTTCACACATGATTGTGTTTTATCTTCCCTTCTGCAATATTGCAAGAGAAGGATTGTGTAACGTGCCATTTATTTACTAACTCATATTTGATAGTAGTTTTGGTCATTTAAATTTATACACGCGAGAAAGGTATAGAATAGGGCAAACTTTGATGATGATTGATTTTAGTTCTGTTCAGAGAGCCAGATAAACTCTTTAATAATCACGATTTTAACTCGTACCCAACTTCATTATAAACCTACCTTCGTCCAATGCATCTGCAGTGAATCCTCTGCAGTGGCTCAAGTTTTGATCTCCAGTTTCAGAAGAAGACATTGTCAGTGGAATACCATCATCACAACTTTCTGATTGGTCATGCCTCATGTTCCCTTGCTGATCTGGGAGAGTTTCTGAAATGTCCATAGGGTACTCTGATCTGGGTTCTATCACACACCTCTCATTTGCCCCAATTTGCCGGATCTGTTCACGTCCTTTCTCCGACAAAATTAATTTGATAATTCCTGGACTATTGAACGTGGTTGTATCGGACACTATCGACGTGGAAAAAGTTATTAGTTTTTCCTTCACAATTTTCAATCCATCTTTAGTTCCCTTCAATGAAAAGTGTTCAGAATCTTTATGAACTTCTACAGAATACCCTTGAAGGGATCTAGCAACTTTGTCTATTTCACTACCCATATACTCTGTGAGGAAACGATGGATTCCTATGGGGAAATTGACAGTGTCTTCATACACAGTTTTGTTTTTGATGATCCTTTCCATCTTTTTTGTCACGTCTTCAATAACAGCGTCCGTGGCAGCTATTACAATACGAGACTTGTCTTCCGCTACGACGATCTCAAAAACGTCCCCCACTGTCCTAGTCAGATCACCACATATCTTTTTCCATTCCGGAGATTCTACCAATTGGGTAGCTTCAGAGTCGAGACGTATGACCTGCTCCACGAGACTCTGTGTAAATACATCAGATATATATCTCGATACAGTCTGTGACGTACTGTATACTCTGACCTCGCTGTTTCTTGTCTCAAACATTCCGTTGATATTTTCCAGTTTCTTCTCAATGTACTGTTCAACGCATCTCTTTTGAACAAGCATCAGCTGTACCTGAGAAAGATTAGGTAAAGGTTCTTTTCTGAAAATGTGCATCGTATTCCGCAGATCTTTACATGCAGATTCCACGTCACACAAAACCCCGGAAAATGTTATCTTCTTGTTTAAATCAAACACAATTTTCAGATTTTGATATTTCCTGGACATGTCGCTGTCAAAATTCACTTTTTTCAGTAAACGCAACTGCCACAACTTTACTGTTTTCGTCTGAGTGGTTTGCTCTGTTCTATACCTATGAGCGTTCTGTGCTTTTTGAATAATATCTTTCAGCTCTTCCATCAACTTTTCTGTGATGACCTTGTGGCCAACCACAACTATAAGACCTGTCTCAGGATAAGAGTGTACAACTGCTTCATCCGGGTTGGGAATTTGTAGGTCGCCAATGGCTGTAATTACGTTGCTCCGAATTTCAAGGGGTACAAATATTTGTTCATTGACAAGTGAACTAAAAAATTGTTGACACTGCCTTCTAACATCAACTTCCCATGAATCAGCTCTATGCTTTGCATCAGGAACATCTTTGGTAAGGCAACATTTCAGGATAACAGAATTTTCAGCTCCAAATTCGACCGTCGTATAAATATCCTGCAACTGCCTCTCAAGATCCAACAGATTCCGTACGGAATCTTTGATGAAACGTATCTTCTGTGGATCTAGGTCTTGGAGGGAGAATGGGGGTGGTACCTTCAGCCATTCGGTGCAGAGGGACGTATAAAATGTCACCCCTCCAATCTTGTGAGATTTTTGCAACAGCTCAGGCTTCACTGAAAAACAGTAGTGAGTGAGTGAGTTGGGTTTAACGCCGCCTTTAACAGAATTCCAGTTATGGCACGGCGTGTCAGCTTAAAGCCCGAAGTGATGCAGGTCTCAGACGTTTACCACTTCGGTGAAACCCACGAGCGCGGGTATGGTGCTGACAAACCTAGAAAAATAATCGGGGCGAACCGGGATTCGAACCCACAATCATGGGTTTCTGGCGTGCCCAAGGGACGCAACTCTGCACAGCGAATTGCGGCGCCTTAGACGACTGCGCCACCCCTGAAAAACAGTAATGTTAAATTATAATGATATACTAAGTATATATTAAACCGAGTTATTTTTTTAAATATGTCAACATTCAAAAGGGATTTATGTCAAAAATGTATTTTGTTTAAAATTTGGTAACCAAGGATACATATGCTCTTTCACGATATTATAAATAAAATACAGCACCACTACAGGTATTATTATCAGATCTGAACCAGATAGGTGATCAACGATCCAAAACCTCGTCATCCAATGGCAAACCAGGAAAATGTGACAGTTGGTTCTACCAATGTCCCACACGGATCTATCAATCGTATGGTGAGGACTTTGTGCGTCGATACCGTACTGGGCACTGTTGGTTTATACTAATAGTTGCGTAAATATGACCATGATTAATCCCCTAAATAAACCCTTGCGATACATTTATTGTTTGACTATGTGAACTATCATAAAGCTTCATATATAGGAGGGGGCGGTCGGGTAGCCTAGTGGTTAAAGTGTTAGCTCGTCACACTGAAGACCCGGGTTCGATACCCGACATGGGTACAATGTGTGAAGCCCATTTCTGGTGTCCCCCGCCGTGATATTGCTGGAATATTGCTAAAAGTGGCGTAAAACCATACTCACTCACTCATATATAGGATCTCTCCACCCATGAACACGTGTTTTTTTATGTAAAATATCTCCATAAATTATTATATGTGCCCCAATAACTGTTGCTTAATTGCCAAGATTCAGGTACATCGATAACCTGATATCGTTCAATGATGGTCAAATAGCTATTTCCCCTAAATTGATTTACCCACCTGCACTAGAAAGGAACTAAAAACGGCGTCATCTGTTTCATATTTAGATCATACATAACTCCACACTGTCAATTTTGTTTTGCTAGGTTTGCTGTTGTATCTACATAAATTTGGTATCACTCATGACTAACACTGCGTTCATATTTCAACTCGGACCGGAAGGTATTCAACAAAATTGAAGTGCAGCAATAATAGTAACATTTACTCAACATAAGTAGAAGAGAAAAATCTGTATATATATTTGATTTGTTTGTCTGTTTGTTGGTTGTTTAACGCGCACTCAGTCATATGACGTCGGTCTGTATATATTCGATTGGACCAGACAATCCAGTGATTGCCATCACGTGCAAGTTGATGAAGACCGATTCTAACCCTGAATCTTCACAGGACACACACACACACACACACACACACACACACACACACACACACACACAATGAATGTAAACATTCGCACTACTTTTATTACTGCGGAATGTCGGGGAATCCCAATATTACAGTCGAGGGAATTCCCTTTCTGCTCAAGTTTATCGTCGTGCACTGGACATTTAGCGACATTCATGCATATTCATTGTCCAAACTACCCTTTGAGACCGAAGGCCGAGAAGGAATGAAACAGCAAACGTGCAGGCTCGCTCGCCTGTTTTTTTCCGCTCGCTTCAGTTCCACAACTTTCATGTCTTCGGGTGTCATTTATAACTAGCATTTTTCCAACTGTGTTTGCACGTTTTCAGGGAACTAATGTTTGATTCTGCCGATAACTGACCATGTCATTTGAAACAGTCGCCTTCTCTCGGACATATTTATTTCGGCTCGTTATAGTCTGACTGTTGCAGTTCTTCTCGCCTCTTGCCTTGATTGACAGGTCCAATGAACATTGTTTTGATTCTGCTCTTGGTTGATTGGCCACTGACTGTGTAGGCGTGTCAAGTTATGTGCATAAATTAAACGATCACATGATTCATGTCACGCCACAGTATGTATTCCTGCGCCTGGAATGTTTATCAATCTCGTCATTTTTGTCTGTTGTGATATATACAACTGTTTTTAGTTAAACCAGTTTAGATAAAACATGTTTTACGTTGTCGAATTCAATTATAAGCATTGTCTTTGAATTCCTTTCGGTTCATTGACGTATGAATCGAACAACCGATGTGCAAACTTTTGTAAAAATTTGCTAAAAGTTTGCACATTGGTTTTTCAATTCATACCTCAATGAACCGAACAAAATGTGTCAATCCTTAAACACATCCATCCATCTTTCCATCCATCCATCCATACACACCACACACATGCCCACACCCACACCCACACACACACACACACACACACACACACACACACACATGCATACTTACATATCACTGAAACACGACCATTCATGTACCGATGCATGATACAATGTCGACCACCTGTAGATGGGTATTGCAGCACCTATATCACTGAAACACGACCATTCATGTACCGATCATGTCACGATCGTCGTGGATCACTGCATGATACAATGTCGACCAACTCTAGATGGATATTGCAGCACCTATATCACTGAAACACGACCATTCATGTATCGATCATGTCATGGCCGTCGTGGATCATTGCATGATACAATGTCGACCACCTGTAGATGGGTATTGCAGCACCTATATCACTGAAACACGACCATTCATGTACCGATCATGTCATGACCGTCGTGGATCATTGCATGATACAATGTCGACCACCTGTAGATGGGTATTGCAGCACCTATATCACTGAAACACAACCATCCATGTACCGATCATGTCATGACCGTCTAGGATCATTGCATGATACAATGTCGACCACCTGTAGATGGGTATTGCAGCACCTATATCACTGAAACACGACCATCCATGTACCGATCATATCACGACCGTCGTGGATCATTGCATGATACAATGTCGACCACCTGTAGATGGGTATTGCAGCACCTATATCACTGAAACACGACCATTCATGTACCGATCATGTCATGACCGTCGTGGATCATTGCATGATACAATGTCGACCACCTGTAGATGGGTATTGCAGCACCTATATCACTGAAACACGACCATCCATGTACCGGTCATGTCACGACCGTCGTGGATCATTGCATGATACAATGTCGACCACCAGTAGATGGATATTGCAGCACCTATATCACTGAAACACGACCATCCATGTACCGATCATGTCATGACTGTCGGTGGATCATTGCATGATACAATGTCGACCACCTGTAGATGGGTATTGCGGCACCTATATCACTTAAACATGACCTTTCATGTACCGATCATGCCATGGCCGTCGTTGATCATTGCATGATACAATGTCGACCACCTGTAGATGGGTATTGCAGCACCTATATCACTGAAACACGACCATCCATGTACCGATCATGTCACGACCGTCGTGGATCATTGCATGATACAATGTCGACCACCTGTAGATGGGTATTGCAGCACCTATATCACTGAAACACGACCATCCATGTACCGATCATGTCACGACCGTCTAGGATCATTGCATGATACAATGTCGACCACCTGTAGATGGATATTGCAGCACCTATATCACTGAAACACGACCATCCATGTACCGATCATGTCATGGCTGTCGGTGGATCATTGCATGATAGAATGTCGACCACCTGTAGATGGGTATTGCAGCACCTATATCACTGAAACACGACCATTCATGTACCGATCATGTCATGGCCGTCGTGGATCATTGCATGATACCATGTCGACCACCTGTAGATGGGTATTGCAGCACCTATATCACTGAAACACGACCATCCATGTACCGATCATGTCACGTCCGTCGTGGATCATTGCATGATACAATGTCGACCACCTGTAGATGGGTATTGCAGCACCTATATCACTGAAACACGACCATCCATGTACCGATCATGTCACGACCGTCGTGGATCATTGCATGATACAATGTCGACCACCTGTAGATGGGTATTGCAGCACCTATATCACTGAAACACGACCATCCATGTACCGATCATGTCATGACCGTCGTGGATCATTGCATGATACAATGTCGACCACCTGTGGATGGGTATTGCAGCACTTATATCACTGAAACACGACCATCCATGTACCGATCATGTCACGACCGTCGTGGATCATTGCATGATACAATGTCGACCACCAGTAGATGGATATTGCAGCACCTATATCACTGAAACACGACCATCCATGTACCGATCATGTCATGACTGTCGGTGGATCATTGCATGATACAATGTCGACCACCTGTAGATGGGTATTGCAGCAGCTATATCACTGAAACACGACCATCCATGTACCGATCATGTCACGACCGTCGTTGATCATTGCATGATACAATGTCGACCACCTGTAGATGGGTATTGCAGCAGCTATATCACTGAAACACGACCATTCATGTACCGATCATGTCATGGAAGTCGTTGATCATTGCATGATACAATGTCGACCACCTGTAGATGGGTATTGCAGCACCTATATCACTGAAACACGACCATCCATGTACCGATCATGTCACGATCGTCGTTGATCATTGCATGATACAATGTCGACCAACTGTAGATGGATATTGCAGCACCTATATCACTGAAAAACACGACCATTCATGTACCGATCATGTCATGACCGTCGTAGATCATTGCATGATTCAATGTCGACCACCTGTAGATGGATATTGCAGCACCTATATCACTGAAACACGACCATTCATGTACCGATCATGTCATGGCCGTCGTGGATCATTGCATGATACAATGTCGACCACCTGTAGATGGGTATTGCAGCACCTATATCACTGAAACACGACCATTCATGTACCGATCATGTCATGACCGTCGTGGATCATTGCATGATACAATGTCGACCACCTGTAGATGGGTATTGCAGCACCTATATCACTGAAACACGACC